CCAGGACTGCAGAAGTAAACAATACACTTGGTCTCCCTAACTTGTTCTAATTCAATTAGAGGGAACTGTGTTTCAAATTTGGTTGCTAAGAGGAGACTGTAGGAGAAAAATGAGGCTTATCCATCTTGCCCTATATTAGTATGCCTATTTATGTACACATTATAAAATAAATACAAATCAAGAAGAAAATTATGTGAGTTTATTAAAAAAAAAACTGAAAGCCTTATGAGGTAAAGAGGAAAGAAGAAAAGGTAATGAAATTTCCAAAAATATTGTGTCAGGTCATACAAAGTTCTGTTTTTTGTTTTTTTTTTTTTTTATTAATGAGAATTTAGTTAAACAGGTTTTTTTTTCTTTTATATTCAATTTTAAAAGGCTTAAAAAATGTTTTAAGATTGTAGTAATTGTGGTCAAATGTTGTTAAGCTTAAAACATGTTATTATTTCAATGTTTTTCTTCTATATTTTTAAGTGTAAATTGAGGTTCTTTCACACAATGTTCATGTTTTTCCATATTTTTGGTATGTATCATTTATATAAATTTTGAATGGAATAGAAAATAATTGATATTTTAATCTAACAGCTTTTACCTACCAGAAATAAGCTTTATACAGACCCCAAAAGTAAAGTTTTTCTGTATTATATTTCATTTGAAATTACATGATTTTAAGCAATCAAATTATTTAAATTTAAACATTACATGTATTTTTACTACCATAAAACCATTTTTTCATGTTTTTCTACATGATTGTCTGAGACTTTCTAGTGAAGGCGAGAACATTTGTTTTGAAAGCTGTCTATATATATATTAAAATCTTAAGCAATAAAACCTGAGAATTCAATTGTTTTCTTTATTTATATAGTAATTATGGTAGAACAGTGACATTGCAAAATGTCAGTTTATATTGTAATAACTATTAAAGCTACAAACCTGACATCTATAATTGTTGTCAGTCATAAAAATATAGTAAATTGGTATAAATTTAGTTTAGTCATTCAAAGAGAATGAAGGGTATCACCTGCTTTCCTTTGTGATTTGATTACCTTGGACTAGGTTTTCCTTTAAAAAAAAAAGTGAAAAAGAGAGAGGGAGGAAGGGAGGGAGGGAGGGAGAGAGAGAGAGAGCTATTCATCAAAAGGAAAGAAAGCTAATAATAAATCTTGAAGCAAAAGAATTATCCAAGGAACTTAGTAAACAGTGCCAGTTTGCACAACCTTAAAAGGTGTTAATTTTCTTTTTGTGGTGTTAAAGTTCTGCATTGTCATTTTCTAAAGTGATAATACACACAACCCAAAGCATTCTTAACATACCCCTCCCCCAGTAGACTTTAACAGCCAAGCCTCTTTTTGTGAAATGGGGACAATAATGCCTGCTGTGACATCAGAGTACCTGTGATTGATTAATGTGTGTTGATACAACAAGGCATCTGGATTAAAGGAAAGTTAGAAGTCCAGGGCCCAACAATACTTTTTTTTTTTTTAATTTTAAACTTTGATTGGAATATAGAACTTATATATTAGAGTTAAAAATATTAGTCTTGAAGTCCTAGAAGAAGGCATTTGAGCATGTTAAATATTACCAGTCTTTGATTTTTATATGAAACGTAACTTACAGAAAAAAAAAAACTTTTACACACTCCATGTAAATGTAATTTTGAAATGCTGTGCAATAGTTAGAAAAATCCTAGATGAAAATCCACTTGATAAACTGCTCTAATAATTCAGGTTATTAAATCCATTACATGGAAATTATTTTTTAATATATAAATAAAATAGTGTTAAACTTTTTAGAATATAAAATGCATTAACTCCACATCTGTTTCTGCATAAATATGTAATAGCGGTTGAGCCTTCACTTACATGGCCAAAGGTGACTTAGCTTCACAAGCATTCCATGACCTATATAACCATTAGAGAACACTGAGGCAATTTTTACAATTGCCCAAATTGTATAATTCAGGTATAACACAAATGACAGCATTGTAATTCCCCCTTATAGAAAGTATGCACTGACAAAAATGAGAAAAGGTTAATGAGATCTAATTATAAGTTAATGTGTGTATGTGTATGTGTGGATGTATACTTATATGGGTCTGAAAATCTAAATTGAAAGTCAAATAATTGGATATATAATGTGTACTAAAGGAAAAATAATAAAATGTGGCATAAAATCAATAGATACTCCATTACAAAAATAAAATTAATACTATTTCCCTAATTTATAATTATACAGATATTAGTTTTTTTTTTTAAATAGCATAGGATAGCTTGTGAATACTTCTCATTATGGAAATGGTTTGTATGGTGTTTTGGGCAGAAGTCTCAAGATACAATAGCTAAAAGGTGAGAATATGATCCTTTATATTTAATTTTCTTCTAGAAATATTAATAAAATCTCTAATAGTAATTCTCACTGCAGAGTTCAGCAGTTACAACGTAATAGGGTAAATAAACCTCCAAATTAGTCTAGCTTTAAGAGGTAAAACTAATATTATTAGGAATTACAATAATCCAAATAAACACTACAAGATAGAATGCTTTAAGACAGTAGCTCTATTTCTATTTTATATTCAATCTCCTTTGAAAAGAATCTAGACATATCTCATTCTGGGGTTTTGACCTGTGGTTTACTTAATTGAAGTCTCGTGGTCATAAATTTAATCCTGTTATGTTTTTTTCCTTCTCTAATCTTCATCCTGTGTCTACACTAAGATTTCATTTATAAGCATGAGGTTAATAATGAATTCTGCCAACACATAAAGCTATCCCTTAGCAAACAGAAACAATTACACTTAATAATGATGTTAAATAATTGTTGCTAAGCTATGTGTTGCAACTACATGACTTTGAAATGACTACAGTATGATTAGAATATAACTGAAATGTTCATGAAATGAACTGGAAAGTGGCTGTGCTGCTGTGTTTATTGTAAATGTATCAGAATGATGGTTCATTTATTTTAAAATAGTTCAGAGCATAAAATAGGTGACAATAAGAACAATGTACTAGCTTTAATTATAGATTTTGCAAATGGCAAAATGATCATTCACTTTGGTAAGATAAAAGTACCGTCCTTTTATTCATTTGGATTATTGTATGAGGTAGTATTCTTCTGTTGACATCTGGACACTTCAGTGGGCCTTTTTAGTCTTAAATTTTGTATACTCTTATCACACAAAATATTACTATAATTGTTGTTTGCCTGTATAAAAACATTATCAACTTACTGCCTGCAAGAAAAGTGATTTATATTTCACATATAAGGGATTAATGGTTTTTATACTGAGCTTTCAGACACTGCAGTTTAACTCATAATATTCACTAGAGGAACAGTCTGAATAAAAAAGTGTGGGGCTTACAATTCCAAGTGAGGTAACTGTGATGACAAACAAGTTAAATAATGAATTATTTATACAATAAAGTTTGTTAGATATAATTAGTGTTTTTTTTTAACTTTTAACCTAAAAATAAATGTTCATATTTAAAAAGAAAACTGTGTTCAAAACCAAGTGATACTCCTGACTATGCCATCACAGTGCATAGGTATGTGAAAAGCCTTTAAGGCCCAAACATCCCAGTATAGTATGAGGAACACAGAAGTTTAAAATAAATGCCCTTTATTTTTCCTGTAAGTTAGAACAAGTTATTTAACCGTGCATTCAGAGTTTCTCAGAAAACCTTTATAATTCATTAAGAATATATATTATATATATATATATATATATATATATAATGTTTCAAGTGAACTGTTTAATATCTCAAATGTTACTCATGTATATGGCATTGTAGGTACAACCGATTATATAAACATTCGTGGTTTACAGTTTCTAAAACATCAATCAAATACATATAGTGCTTTAGGGGCCAATATTAAAGGAATAGGCTAATCCTTTCGGGAGTCAGTCCCTCCCATTCTTGTATGAAAATGAAAATCCTGTGAGCGGTATACTACAGAACTGGAGTCAAAAAATGAATTGCACGGAAAAGAAGTAATACAGTAAAGTTGGAATCAGCAGAAAGTGCATAGGGGAAAGGAAATGTTCACAGCTTGGGAAACAGCTGCTCGGGACGCCTTCCAGCCTCTGGGAAGCAAAGTTTACAGTTAGGTAAGCTGGAAGCGGGTTTGGAAGCAGCCGCGTGCACAGGCGAGCTCGGGCTCTCAGGTTTCCGGGCGCAGCAGGAGCAGAAGGCAGGGACCGCTACCATCCTCCGCCGCGGCTCATCCTGCTCCGCCAGAGAAGACATCGCACGCACAGAGGATCCCAGAGGCTGCAACTTTCCTTTTCCCCCAGCAGTTTATGCGACCCTGCATGTAGAAACACTAGATAATTTTCTTTTCGGTTTTGAGATTAAAAAAATCTGCTGCCCCACCTTTAGCTATCAGCCCTCTCCGCCCTTCTTTCCGATGTCCCTGCCAGCAAAACCCCTTGCAGCACCAGGCACACGTTGCTGTTTAATGCACTCCGGGATCTGCCTGACCGTGTTCCCCACCAAGAGGTGGCTGTGCGTGTCTCCCATCTATGTATTTTGGCCCCTCCACTTAGCAATCAAAAGCGCAAAACGTGCACCCAGGAACCAGCCGCCTCGGTGACCCTCATACGCCCGCAGCGGTGATCAAGGTTGCTTGGATCCGCGCCTGGGCACCCAGCAGCGCAGCTCGCGTTCGCTCCACCGCCAGAGCTCGGGGTTTCGCTGCCCGGCAAGTGCCGGCGGGCACCGGAGCCTCCCACCCCGCAGACCCTTCCAGGCATGCTCAGTGCACGTCCTGGAACCCGGCTCTCCCGGGACCAGGATTAGATCTCCGGGTTTTCGCGGCTGCCGAGGGGGCGCTGAGGAGGGGAGGCTGGGAGACAGTCTGCGCCTTGTTCTGCGACCCCTCCCTTGCTCGGGCTGCGGCCGCCCGCACCGCAAGATGCAGACCAATCAGAGTCCGGGGGCGGGGCCGAGGCCGTCACGCCCTCCCTCTGGGCTTATTGAGAGTTATATCAAGAAATTCAGTTCAGAGAGAGGAGAGAGAGGAGAGGGAGAAGGAGAGGGGGCAGAGGAGAAGGGAAAGAGGGAGAGCATGCGAGACGGGAAGGAGCGCCTGGAGTCTCCGAAGCACGAAAGAGAGAACCGATTAGGAATTTGTCGGGCAACAGTCACCCGGGAAAGCAGCCAGAGAATTACCAACACCCCAACTCTGACGTTTCCTACCAGAAGTTAGAGACTTAAGCAGTATTGACATCAGATGGAAATGGTATGCTCGATGCTGTGGGAAATACTCCTGAGCTGAAGAAGTGCAACTGGATGTTGTGTGTGTTAAATACCAGAAGAGCCCAGACCCAGTGGGTAATAGAGACGAAATGTGGAGAGAATGACTAACGACAAATCTGTGAATTTGTTCTCGGGAGTTGCTAATTTGCCAGCCTGAAGCCACACATTTTTACAAGGAGAAAACGTTTTGCTGCTTCTGATTTCTCCCCAAACTGGTGCTACCAGATGCATGGCTTTCTATGTGTTGGAACAAATCATTCCTAACTGCAGCATATCAGGAAAGGGGAAAGGTTGAGGCAACTAACGTAAGTGTAAAGTTTTACATGCACAATTGTAAATTCTGTGTTTAGATATGTCCTCAGTGGAGACGAGGAATGTTTGTAATTGGGTAGCCGGTTGGGGCAGAGCTCACCTACTCGGCTGTATCTGCATCCCTACCTGCATCACTCTGCCGGAACTAATCTCGGGCATCAGCTACCGTGCAGCCTAATGCAGATAAGATTAGAGCCTGGGAACTGACCAGTCCTACTCAAGTGGGTAGCTGTCTGGAGCCTTGCACCCATTTAAATTGCAGTTAGGGGAGCATCTGAACAGGAGCGTTTTTATGTGCATTACTAGGTTGCAGTATTTATGTGTGGCAAATGTTACTAATATTATAACCAGAGATCAAGGGTAAGAAACTGCATTTTTTTCCTCTCTTTTATGCTCAGAAGAAAATATTGTAGTGTTACATGAGAATGTTAGCTGTGTTTCACTTACATCTCAGCACTCTCCTCTACATCTAGGACAAGGAATTGTATATTATTATACATTTTTCAAAAGTTTTAATGTGTGCATTAGTCTTAATGGAAATAATTTGGCAATATGGAGAAAGGAGAACAGGTTCTGGATAAGAAATTTCAAGTCTTGGTATTGTGCTTTTAGGCAATAAGGATATGTAGTGGCCAGTGACTATTGCTTCTGATGCTGCAGCAGCATGTCCAGATGCTTGTTTCCCAGTAAGATTCTATTCAAAGGCAGTTTAAGAACTGGATGGAAAGAAAAAGATACTCTTTTTAGAAGAGAGATGACTCAGTGTGGCAGAGAAGAAAACACATCATATTTGACATGTGACAAAGCAATTAGCAGGAACTGTAGCTAAATACTTAGGTTTTTTTACTTGGACCCCAAACAACTGAGGGACGTGGGTTAGAGGCCAAGAGGTGGGTAAAACAGCAGGAGGAGAAGAGAACAAGAAAGCATGTTTTGAATTTAACAGTATTCAAAAAAAATAAAAAGCGTGGGGGGGGAATGCAGGTAAAAATAGCTGCTGTCCTTAATCCAAAAGTAGGTAATTTCATTTTCTCTGGGAAAATGCAACAAGCAGGGAATATTCAGTGTTTTTACCCTCAGAGTTAACTTGCCAACAGTGGCAGAGCAAACTGCCATGTTTACTAATGTGCAGTGGAAAATGTGGTGCGATATCTTGTGACTGTGTGTTTTTATTTACTGAAGAATAATATTGTCTGTACGATTGTGTTGACAGTGGCTGTCTCCAAATAAGCGATGAGATGTAATGCATCCTCCAGTCCATGCACACTTCCTCTTGCAATCCGTGCATCCCTCAGTGGAAACCTTTAAGCCCTAAAATCCAGGAAAAGAAAATAAATACATTATCATGGACCTGAGGGATTTTTACCTGTTGGCTGCTCTGATTGCCTGTTTAAGGCTGGATTCCGCAATAGCTCAAGAACTTATTTACACTATTAGAGAGGAATTGCCTGAAAATGTGCCCATAGGAAACATACCAAAGGATCTGAACATTTCTCACATCAATGCTGCCACAGGGACGAGTGCCAGCCTTGTCTACAGACTGGTTTCTAAAGCTGGGGATGCCCCTTTGGTGAAAGTATCCAGCAGCACTGGGGAAATTTTCACAACCTCCAATAGAATAGACAGAGAAAAACTCTGTGCTGGAGCTTCTTATGCTGAGGAGAATGAGTGCTTCTTTGAACTTGAGGTGGTGATCCTCCCCAATGACTTTTTCAGGCTGATCAAAATAAAGATAATTGTCAAGGATACCAATGATAATGCCCCCATGTTTCCATCTCCTGTCATCAATATTTCCATTCCAGAAAACACTTTGATCAACAGCCGCTTTCCAATTCCATCAGCAACAGATCCTGACACAGGCTTCAATGGTGTACAGCATTATGAATTGCTAAATGGGCAGAGTGTTTTTGGACTGGATATCGTGGAAACTCCGGAGGGAGAGAAGTGGCCACAATTGATTGTTCAGCAAAACTTGGATAGAGAACAGAAAGATACCTATGTGATGAAAATCAAAGTGGAGGATGGAGGCACTCCACAGAAATCCAGCACAGCCATACTGCAGGTCACAGTAAGTGATGTAAATGACAACAGGCCAGTGTTTAAAGAGGGTCAAGTGGAGGTGCATATTCCAGAGAATGCTCCTGTAGGTACCTCTGTAATTCAGCTCCATGCCACTGATGCAGATATAGGCAGCAATGCTGAAATCCGGTACATTTTTGGTGCCCAGGTCGCCCCTGCAACCAAAAGACTCTTTGCTTTAAATAATACTACCGGGCTGATTACAGTTCAGAGGTCTTTAGATAGAGAAGAAACAGCCATTCACAAAGTGACAGTGCTGGCTAGTGATGGCAGCTCCACTCCTGCTCGAGCAACGGTTACCATCAATGTCACTGATGTAAATGATAACCCTCCAAACATAGACCTCAGGTACATTATAAGTCCCATCAATGGCACTGTGTATTTATCTGAGAAAGATCCTGTCAATACAAAGATTGCCCTAATTACAGTTTCTGATAAGGACACAGATGTGAATGGCAAAGTGATCTGTTTTATTGAAAGAGAGGTCCCCTTTCACTTGAAGGCAGTCTATGACAACCAATATTTGTTAGAGACCTCTTCTTTGTTGGACTATGAGGGCACCAAAGAATTCAGCTTTAAAATTGTTGCCTCTGATTCTGGGAAGCCCAGTTTAAATCAGACTGCCCTGGTAAGGGTTAAGCTTGAGGATGAAAATGACAACCCACCAATTTTCAACCAGCCTGTAATTGAGCTGTCAGTTTCTGAAAACAACCGACGTGGGTTATACTTAACAACTATTAGTGCCACAGATGAAGACAGTGGGAAAAATGCAGACATTGTTTATCAGCTTGGACCGAATGCCTCCTTCTTTGATCTGGACCGAAAGACAGGAGTTTTGACAGCCTCCAGGGTCTTTGACAGAGAAGAACAAGAACGATTCATTTTTACAGTAACTGCCAGGGACAATGGGACCCCTCCCCTCCAAAGCCAAGCGGCTGTGATAGTTACTGTTCTGGATGAGAATGACAATAGCCCCAAGTTTACTCATAATCACTTTCAATTTTTTGTGTCTGAGAATCTGCCAAAGTATAGTACTGTGGGGGTAATCACAGTGACAGATGCAGATGCTGGAGAGAATAAAGCTGTGACTCTTTCCATTCTAAATGACAATGATAATTTTGTGCTGGATCCTTATTCTGGAGTCATAAAGTCAAACGTCTCATTTGATAGAGAACAGCAGAGTTCCTACACTTTTGACGTCAAAGCCACTGATGGAGGACAACCACCTCGTTCCTCTACTGCAAAAGTAACTATCAACGTCATGGATGTGAATGACAACAGTCCAGTTGTCATCTCTCCACCATCTAACACTTCCTTTAAGTTGGTGCCCCTCTCAGCCATCCCTGGCTCCGTGGTAGCAGAAGTTTTTGCAGTGGATATTGATACTGGAATGAATGCAGAACTTAAGTATACAATAGTGAGTGGGAACAACAAAGGCTTATTTCGGATCGATCCTGTAACAGGTAACATCACCCTAGAAGAAAAGCCGGCAACTACCGATGTGGGCTTACACCGTTTGGTGGTCAACATTAGTGATCTGGGGTACCCCAAGTCTTTGCACACACTTGTGCTGGTATTTCTTTATGTTAATGACACTGCTGGAAATGCCTCCTATATCTATGACTTGATCCGCAGGACTATGGAGACCCCACTGGACAGGAACATAGGGGATAGCAGCCAGCCCTATCAAAACGAAGACTATCTCACCATCATGATTGCCATCGTCGCAGGGGCCATGGTGGTCATTGTTGTAATTTTTGTCACTGTTCTGGTGCGCTGTCGCCATGCGTCCAGGTTCAAAGCAGCTCAGAGGAGCAAGCAAGGTGCTGAATGGATGTCCCCAAACCAGGAGAATAAACAAAACAAGAAAAAGAAAAGGAAGAAAAGAAAGTCTCCCAAGAGCTCTCTTTTGAACTTTGTTACTATCGAAGAGTCCAAACCTGATGATGCAGTTCATGAACCTATCAATGGGACAATAAGCCTGCCAGCTGAGCTTGAGGAGCAAAGTATAGGAAGATTTGACTGGGGCCCAGCACCTCCAACAACCTTCAAGCCTAACAGCCCTGACCTGGCCAAGCACTACAAATCTGCCTCTCCACAGCCTGCTTTTCATCTCAAACCAGACACTCCAGTTTCCGTGAAAAAGCACCATGTGATTCAGGAGCTCCCTTTGGACAACACCTTTGTCGGGGGTTGTGACACCCTTTCCAAACGCTCTTCCACTAGTTCAGATCACTTCAGTGCCTCAGAGTGCAGTTCCCAAGGAGGCTTCAAGACAAAGGGCCCCTTACACACCAGACAGGTAAACGAGCACTTTTACTGGTCTATAAGTACTGCATACAAGTGCCCAGTCAACCAGTATTAACGTGCCAGTGTGTCTATTGTTTTGGTCTAACTTTAGCTTAGTTACAAAGAGGAAAAAAAAAACTTGACCCCTTTTCTATTCCTCTGGGGCTCAGTCAAGAATTTTTAGAACAGCTTTGAAATTTCTGAGTTCTGAGAATTATTTAACCTCCCAGTTTCCTTCAAATGGCAAAAGATGAAAAGAAGAAATTATTCCTAAATGTCCCATGATAATGTTTGCTAAAGAAGAAAACCCATCCTAATATGCCAAATTCTACTCCTGGGTTTTCCAAATTGACAGCTTCAAAATTTTCACATTACCTTTTGATCTAAAAAGTCACCTTCAAATCTCAAGTTTTAAATGACATTTGAAGGTCTGATGCCACTTGTGTTGGAGCTGTGGTTGCTAAAGGGGTTAATTTTTTTTTTAGTCTCTAAACAAGATAGTTAATATTAAATGTACATCAGTTGTGAAGCACATGATTGTTGATAGATTGCAACTAAGCCATATAGGAAGTCTCCTCTGTGATTTCAAATTGTTTATTGTAATATAGTAAATTGGGTGTTTGATAGAAAGATTTTCAGTGTCCACAATGGCCAAATAAACTTTCAAAAAGGAAAAAATAAGAAAAAAGGAATGCTATCTCCCTCATATAACTGATTTATAGAGAAAAGAATGAATCCATTGTAAATACTCTCTCATCTTAGTAATGCATAAGTGATCTGTCATAACTCATTTTAAACTGTGAAATATGCCATATGAAGAGGGATTAAGAGGCTGAGAAACTCATATTTCAACCAAATCCAGAATTAGTTTTTCTTAGGTCTAATAATTCCTTGCTAATAAAGATTTAAATGCAGCGCTGTCTAATTTATTTCACTGGTGCTTGTCTGTTGCCACAAAATTTGAATGTCGATAACAGCCTGTAGATGGCACTAGGGTATCATGTCGCATTTGCTGGCCAGGTGCCAATCCTGCAGTAGTAAGGAAAAAGGGGGAGGGCAAGATCAAGCTGGTAGTACAGCCAAAGAGATACCTTTTATTTAATGATAGTTGCTCTGGAGCAACTAACATTTAAGTTCATTTGCTTGCTCTTTTCAGATTAGCTCTCACCACACCAACTTTCTGGGATTTCCTAATCCAAGTTCTGTCTTTAATGGTATTGGACCACCTCTGGTGATGACCCATCTGTATTGTTAAAAATCAGGAACATATGGATTTCAGAAATTCAAGTAAAACAAAATTAGTTTTCAGAATATTCTTGAGAGTCACTGATGAGACTGTGGAAAAATCAAGGGATTTTCTTTTCTAGGGGTAGGGTGGAGAAGGGTGTCTTCCTGAAACTGTTTCCCCTTTTACTATCCCTTTTTGCTTTTTGCCTGAAATGACTTTAAGGCTTCATAAGATATTTGTAAAAATGTTGACAACTGATCACACAGATGCCCCTAGAAAAGCATACTGTCTATGGTTGACAAAAAAAAAAATCTACCTTTAAATTATTAAATATCTAGAGCATTTTAGAAGTACACATATTTGGAGCTTAAAAGCACAGGATGAAATGACTTCAAATAAATAAGACATTATTGAAGTCCTAGTAGAGATTATGGGGTTATAAGTTGAAGTTGGAAGTGTGACTTATTTTCATGTTAACTTTATCAGCATTTGAAAAGAGGTTGATTTTTTTTTAATTTGGAAATTGTCCTGGCTTAGTAAATATTTTTAAAGATTAATAAATAGTTTATGATGATAGTGAAATTAATTGATAGCACTAAATGGGCTTAATTAAAAAGTTGCTATTTTAAAGAAAAAAGAAAATTATTTATTAGTTTTTATCATGAAGTTTGTTCACAATATATTTATGGTATTTTATGATTTGCATAATATCCTGAACAAGCTACTGTGATCTGAAACTTTCCATATAAAATCTGAAATTTGCTTTCCAAAGAAATGTACTAATAAGCTTTCTACAATATTTTTCTTTTCATAAATCTGATGGGTATTAGCATTGAAGGGTAAGCCAACTTTTTCTGACTTCTTTCCAATAGTTGAACTTATATATAGTGTAAAGACACAAAAGTTAAGTGCATTTCAGCAAAGCATAGAAAAGACCTTTTGTTGAGGCTTTGTCAGTCCCAAAGATATTTGTTTGTATGATGTAATCTTTCAAATAGGATGTTGAGTAATTCTCTAACTGGAACCAAAGTGCACTTTAGACATTGTTTCTGACCATGCGTCACTTTGCAGTTCTCCTATAGGCATTTCAATGTTCAAATGTAGCTATAATTCACTACTTTGATAAAGAGCTACTGAAATTGCTTTGCTTACACATTTTAGAAGTTTTTATGTTGAGAAAAGTAGTGATTTAGAGAAAAGGAATATTGGGAGTAAGGAGAGAGGTAATGGGGATATACAGAGCAATATGCACAATTTTATGGAAAAGAGGCATATTTTCTATGAATAGGGGACATAAATTATATACTATCCTTTGAAAATTTGTTGTTGCTGAACTACATGATAGCTGTCTGAAGATGTTATAGTTAAGGTAAAAAAGTCAAAATACTTTTTTAGTTCCTTCACTTCAACTAGTAACATTTGTACAAAATGAGCTCCTGAATCTATACAATTTTGAAAAATGTAAATGAATCACTACAAATGGGGATTTTTAAGCTGATATATAATCTGTGAAGATTTTTAGTTGGGTGGACCCAATTGCCATTAACATGACACTTTTCACTAATGGTGCTAATTGATAATGGGTAAAATGCAAGATTCTTCAGCTAAGGGTGACCAAAGATAAATAACACTAATTTTTATTGTCTATTCAGTGAAAATATAATGTCTAACTCTTCTACATCACGGGGTTGTTTGTGGGGCAGTGATTCCTATTTTGTTTGACTTTTTCCCTCTTGCTATCCTCCCTTGTGTTGACCTGCAAAGAACATACAATTGTAAATAAGTATTTCTCATTCACTCTATCTTGCTAAGCTTTTATTTTTCTTGAATATAACAAACCTATTACTATATTTCCCATGAATTTTGAAAGTGACCTTAACATTCACAGATTGACAGTTTGCATTTTAAAGCAAAAGATCATGTCCTGATGTTTATTTATATAACAAAACAAAGTTCATTGCTCTCAGCTTAAGAGGATGACAACATAATAAATTTCAATAGGGTTTTAAATGATAAAGTTAATTTGTATATTTGTCTAAAAGGAGAAAGGTATTGTTGATGAATATGATTTAAAAATTGATGAATATGATTTAAAAACATGATATCAGTCCTCAAATTCTGGAATATCCCACAGTCACCTAGAGTACTTCTTAAAACACAAACTTTTATGCCCTATCTAGAGAGGGGATGATTGAGTACCAGTGGGTCAGATCTGGAAATTTACATCACTGACAATTTTCACGGTAATATTGATGCTGCTAGTCAAGGGACCACACTTTGAGAACCTGCCTTAGCATATTAGAACAAGAAATATCAGCCAATTCCTCTTTCGTATAATCATATCCAGTGGACCTGTTTTTGCACAGTTCAAATCTCAGCCCATTATTGACAGCCGTTTTATTGTAGCTGGAGGCCTTACAGTAAGCTGTTTATATTGCTGTTTCCCAAACCGTTGACAGCATTTGGGGAATTAATTTTCTTGGCCCCAGTGTGCTTTTTTCCAAGGGGTAGGGCTGGAAATAAATGAAAATGTTAACATAAAAAAAAGTGATCTATTTACATTTGACAAGTTTTTCAAATAATAATCTGTGAGAGTTTCACTAGAGTTTGGTTCTGGATAAACAGTCATATTTAATTTTCTAAATGAAATGCTTATTTTAGAGCTCCAGAATCCTGACTTTAACTTTATGTAATGTAGACTATTTGCTCATATATACATTTGTATATAAATTGAAGAATTTGTACCTTGAAAATGTGCATGCATGCTGTACTCAAGTGTGTTTGTGTGCTTTTACTGTTGTAAAGGGAATTGCTTCAATTCCAAGCCATTTAGAGGTAGTATATTACATTTATGATTACTTTTCATTTTTGAGTAATCCACTACAATCACTATTGAAATGTTATTATCTCATGTAAAATGCACAAGGCAGTCACAAAGTTGATATTTAGAACACTCAGAAAGAAAGATGAAATTGAAAATCAAGAGAGCAAATGTTACTTTGAGGCTAGTGAAAACTTCAAGATATTTTCAACTTCTACATTTTAGAGTACATACATAGTGATGGTTGAGCACCGATGACATGTCATGAAAAACTGCCCCCTAAAATGTGAATTACTTTAGCAGGGTTGTTAGTTATGATTTTTGTTTCTACTTCTCTTTTGCTAAATGCCCTATGGTTATGAAGTCAGTTTTCAAACTTAGGAGGTAGAAAACATGAAGAACCATTAGATAGTGGTGAAGGTTTTTGAAAGGAGGATGGATTATTCATTCAAACTGGCTCTCTTTCTCTTGGATTTGTGAGACAAATATTTTATGATTATATTTTCATCTTGATTCTCCTAAACTATAAAATTCAAGACACATTTTGGCATTCATTCCTAATAACCTTACATATAATGGAAATAAAAAGTTGCCACTGTATTAAATATCAACATACCTGCTGATTCCAAAATATTTACTAACATGGAGAAAATAATTTCTGTAGTTAAAATATTCTATTCACTTATTTTCAAATTTTCTTTCTATTCTAGATTTAGATACAATATACTTTAATGAGTCCCTTAGTTTCAAATGAGTCATTCTCATGGCATGACAGAACAGTCTTTGGCATCATTAAAATTATCTTACAGTGCTGGGGAGTAGCTCAGTGGTACAGCACTTGCCTAGGTATGAACAAGGCTCTGAGTTTGTAAATTTTGTACTTATAACAATATATATATTCTTATGTTATATGCATATTGTTGTGATTTAAATAGTGGCAAGCTATAATTTACCTTCTCATGAT